TGGTCGTGGTGGTGGGGGTGGTGGTCGAAGTGGTGGTGGGGGTGGTGGTGGTCGTGGTGGTGGAGGTGGTGGTGGTGCTGGTGCTGGTGGTCGACGTCGTCGGGGTCGCTCTTTCAATTAGCTGCAAGAAGGCATTTTGAAATGCCCGTTCCAGGGCGATGATTGCGAGATTGCCAGCTGCCTCTGCACTCGCTGTGCTTAGCTGCATCAGTTGTGGGGATTCGGTGATGCCAAGGATGCTGCGGTTTACAGCGCCCTCGCTGTCAAAAATGCGTATCAAATCTCGCCGGTTGAACTGTGTGACATCTGGTACCGGGACTTGTGTTGCACCAGCAGGCAGGTCACCTATGAAAATTGTCAGAAAGGCTGTTGCGGTGGTTGTCGTTGGGCTGGTGGTGGTGGTGGTGGTGGTGGTGGTGGTGGTGGTGGTGGTGGTGGTGGTGCTGGTGGCGCTGGTGGTGCTGGTGGTAGGGGCGGCGGTGGTGGTGGTTGATTTCTTCTTCTTTAGGATGTCTCTAACAAGCCCATGGAGCCTGCGCAGAAAGCGCTTCGTGAGTTTCTTGATCCTGATCCATCCTCTTCTAAAGAACTTGGAATCATCCTTCTGCAGCAATTGCGGTGGGTCTTCGATAATGTCCAGAATCTCACGCTGCTCGCCAAGCTGAGCATCATCCTGGATCACGACAATATCCCCGACATCGAAGCCTTCGAGGTTGCTCAGGTACACTTCGGTGTCCCCTGGATGAGCATCAGTTTCAAGGTCGGCCGTTGGTGGTCTTGGTGCCGTTGTGGTGACGGTGGTCCCTTGTCCACTCAGCTCGTCGCCTCGAAGGTGCAGTCCGTCAGCTCGGAGAAGCCCCTTCTGAAGGAGAGCGGATGTGTCATTGGCCATGGCCCATGTCCGCGAATCCCGCGAATTGCAGGCTTCTGGTTCTCCTTCTGTGGTCGCAACAACGATGACTGCCAGAAAGGCAATGTGCCAAGACAAGGTGTTGCGCGACATCGCTCAAGAGCGACAGCACTCAGAACACCCACTTGCATACAGGCTTGGCTCACAAACTCTTGGGAAAGTATGCCGTGCGGAACATGCACTCGACCTCATGACGACACATCTGCCACGACCATGCTGCAGGCATGACACCAAAGATCTCATCCCCATCCAATGCTGCGAACGGCGTCCCAACCGGAACAGTACGACGCACTAGTATACATTGACAGTGCACGGATTGGCTTGGTACGCGCCCTCCAGACACCAACATGTCTGCTTGATATCTCGGTCGCGTACACGGAAGCTTCGTGCTGGCTTGCCTGCAGCCTTTTCGTCGGTGCAGCTGAACTCAAGCAGCACATTTGGGTGAAACGCCTCTCTTGTCAGGCATGTCACGGACCTGGTGCTTCTGAGAGTTTAACATAAGACAGCCTGGTTTAGTCCAGGACCACTTGGACTCTCTTAAGCAGCCGCGCGGAGACGATCCACACATTCAGAGCTCTAAGCGCTCAGAGCTGTCCCGGATCGTAACGCATCAAATGTGGAGACCTGTGCTAAAGCCTCAGGAAATCAGGATGAGCCATGCGATGGCCACCTTGGCGACTTGTGCGAAGCTGCAAAAAGCGAAAGCGTGGCTGGTGCAAAGTCTGTCCTTTCTTGATGCTCAGGTGGCTCACGTAGAACAACCAGACGGGATAGACTCCCAAGGCCTGCGTGGAAACCGATGACACAGCCTCATGACTCCTCACCCATCCCGCTACTGGACAACTTTTGACCAGGTCTTGCCATTCAGAAGGGGAACCCCACGCTGTGCCTTCCGATCCTCAGGCAGGAGCTCCGACATGAAGGCCACCTTCGAAAGTCTTCGGGACGCCCGTTGGAGCTTTCGACTGGCCTCCGAAGCCCAAAGCCTCGGGCCCCCACCGAGGCACCGGTGGCCCATGTAAAGCCTACACAAACGAAGATGACCTGACAAGGGGATTTACATCTCTGAAGGGTCAGCGGGGCCAAGGATGGAGCAACGGGCTCTCCGCCTTCAGCCATATGACTTGGAGAAGCAAGGAGCAGAAGGCAGCTATGACCAGCGGGAAGATGCAGTAGCCTCAGGCTTTAGCCCAGAAACATCAGATACCAGCATCGGGGAGTGTTGTTGGGGATTCGAGAGGCTGTCTGAGGCACTGGCCCAAGACACAGACCTGGCTGCTCCACCGGTGGTTAAGTTCGCACGCTACAGATCGCGTGCTGGTAACCAAGCCGCGAACCGACTGGAAGAAAGAGATCTTGCCTTTGAGGAGAACTGCATTCAGGGTCACGATGCCTGCAGCAATGCGGGGTTCCGCACCAACAAGCGTGCCAGAAACCGAAAAGTCCACGATGTTGGTTGCACGTGAACACTGCGAGCGAGGCTGCAATGCACGAGTTCAACTCAGGAAGGTGTGGACACCTGAGCCTACCCACACGATCACGAAGACCAGGGCAAAAGCCAAGCTGGCCTAGCGCAACAGTCTGGGTTCCCATCCGCAAAAGAACCAGTGCTCGGTTTCTTTTCGCTTCATGACACGTTGTCTCCGAAGATTTCTTTCTTGCATACAGACCCCAAACTTAAATGCGACTGTACTCACATGTTGCTATCAAGAACTACATACTCAAGATACCAGCGGTTCCACTATGAAGATGGTCTCAAAAGCAGTTCACACAGCAGTGGCACTTGTCTCTTTGGACTCTGAGGTTTGGGGTTAGGCTTCAGTCAGGTTTGTGGTGCAGGGCTCAGGGTTTAAGGCCCATGCCCACTGAAAGCTCTGAAACCCACTATGGCCATGTGTTTGTAAATGCGTTGTACAGGCAGGATCGTGCTCGACTGCATCGTGCACTGTCGTATATGACTACATGCTGCTGCATGCGATACAATCAGGATATTGCTGCACCTGCTGTACAACTTTTGTGGATTTGAAATACTGTCTCATGATGCACATCTGTGTCACTGCATGCTGTTGCAAAATGTGCAGAACATGTATGTGTATATTACTGTATATATACATAGCAAACATAGCAGGAATGACAACAGTAATAATCATCACACAATCACAACACAATCATAATCATATGTGGGTGTGTCACACTTGAAACACCATCTACGCTTTCCTGGTCAGCGCATCATTCGCTTCTGGATGGACCACCGGCCAAACTGCTTCTGCGGTTCTCACTGCAAGCTCTGTGGGTTTCCAACCTGGTCTGCTCGCATAGACAGCATGATGCCTCGGTATCTCAGAATTGAACTAGATTTAGCAGCCTGGACTTCTTGATCTACCTGTGCATTTTGCGATGTAACGCTACAAGCCAAGTGCCTCCAAGCCACCCAAAGCTAAACAGAGAACCAACGGACCCCACAGGTCCCACCTCACAGAGCAGACGGATGAAGAAGCGACTGCAACAGTGCATGCTGCCAACTGAGGCAGCCACTCCCGCAAACCGCTGCCTTTGTCGGCGCGTGCTCTCGGCAGCATAACGTACCTGTCGGAGCGAGAAACTTCTGAATGATGTTGGTTAATACGGTGGGTGCGGACTGTCCCTGCGCGATTGCACTATATGCCTTCAACTCTGGACAGCTGGACTCCGAAGGTAGATGACGTTGCATGTTCGACTCTGCATACACGCAGACACACAAACACACACTCGTGATCACTCGTGTATTCATCCGCAGCCTGCAACTTTTGAAATAGAGCCAAGCTCGATGCTCCAGATCAAAAGCGGGCCCAGGACCTGGAATTGGCCTAAAGCCCCTCTTATATTGACTCATGCCATCAGAAAGTAGTGACAAACTAAGTAATACAATCCCAGCTGCATCCCTGTGCCAGGGACTCGCTAGAGCAACCCCAAGCTGCATCGAAGCCCATGGGTGTTCGGCTTTGCAGGCAATCCGCATTCGGCTTCGTTGGCGCAGGAGTTGCTGATTGCACCGGGGCCCGTTGCTTTTTCACAGTCTCAAGCCTGCCCATAGCAACAGGGCTGGACACACACACACACATAACCACACAGACAAACCAGCACACACACACACACATATCAGCCAGCAAGAGCAAGAGGGAGGGTGAAGTCCAAGCAAGCCGCTGGCGCACTTCAGCTTGGTTCCAATCGACCTCCGAAACTGGGTGAACTACGAAAACAAACCATGTTTTTGTCATCGTCGATAGGGGCGCCAAGGGTTGCAGTCAGGATAGTTATGCAGCTGCATCGGACACACCGATTCTACAGGTCAAGATTCCACGACAATTCTCCTGAGTTTCAGAATCTGCGGCATCTACGGACAAAGCCCTTCGCCTTAGGCCTCTCTATGCCTCGTGAACTTGTCTGATGATTTAGCTGAAGATCGGCCTGAGATCTCTCATGATGGTCTCCATGACTGGCTCGTCCAATGTATTTCGGAGTCCCTTCCAGCAACTTGGCTTGCACAGACGACATGCTGCCCACGATTTCAGAATTGAATTCACCTGCTGTGTGCTGGGATAGACAAGCTTGCCCACATGTTCTTCAGCAACGCAGACATGAGAAACACATTTGCAGCATCTAGCTTCAGAACCCAGTGCACCGGCAATTGAGATAGGCGAACAGCACGCAGCAACAGGCAAAGGAGCAAGCGGTCACAACACAAACTCGTACACCCCTAGACCAAATCGCAAACATGACCTTGGGAGCAAATTCGCATCGATCACCCATGCAGTGCACTGCATTCATGATCGGGTGGTCGCGACCAAGCCTGCAGACTTGCAGACTGTTCGATTTGGCCGCTGGGCGCCACCCCGCCATCGCCTTGCATGTTGAGTGCATCAACAGGGCTGCGGCTGTCGTGGCATGCAACGCAGATATCGATCTGAACTCCCCCACTGCACAGCACAAGAACTTGCCTCCAGAGAACTGAGGCGATTGGTAGGTGCCGCTTAAGTCAAAACTCGCCATCCCTGGCAAATGCAAGGATCACTCTTTGAGCACGTACTTTGGAGCATTGAGTTTGTATGCTGGCCGCAGTTAATTAGCTTGTGGATCTTTTTGAATTTCCTCAGACTGTCAGCGACTGGATGAGTCCGAACACATGCCGCCGTGCCTCCTCCTGTTTCCATGCTAGGGTCTTGCAGCCGAAACAGGCGGCGGGGCGGGAGCAACAGCAAGTAATACCAATCCATCTAGCGAATATTGATCACGCAGGTCCTCTGCAGCGGGCATCAATGTGCAGCAGCCAGCAATCAATGCCAGGCGAAAGTTCTTGGTTCGTGGCTGACAGTGGCAAGTGGCGCAGCGATGGATTCTGGTGGGTTCGGGGTATGTGGTCCGTCAGATCGGAAGTGGCATCACAGTCGGCACTCATAGAGCTCAGGTTATTCGGCTCGGAGGGACGAAAAGGAACCGAAGTCTGCAACTGGCAGGCGGGTTTCGCGAGGCCACAGGACCTGAACAAAAACTTGATGTTTCTCAGCCAGGCTCGGTTCAGGGCACGACACCTTCAACTGTGAGGAGCCCGGAGGAAGAAGGTCAGCTGGAACCTTGTTCCATGGTGTGCTTCCACAGGCACCCGGGGCTGTCATTTGTTTCCAAAGACAACTGAGGATTGAACACCAACGTTACTTGTGCCTGCCCTCTTTAGGGTATCCTCTTCTGAAAACCCCCAAGCGTTGAGCAGGTCTGATTGACTGCAATACACGCCTAAGCCTATGCAAATCAGCACAGGCAGGTTTGCCTGTCCGCCCGGGAAAATACAATGGCATTTCAAGCTTGGCCGGGAGAGCTGCACAGCAATCAAGCATCTTCAATCGCAGTTTACACCAAAAACACTGGCCACTGCCATCAGCATCATGAATCCAAAAACGGGTACGAGAGAGCAGCTGAAAATCCCTCACCAACTCAGCCCGAGTAGCCTTCCTAGGCCCTCAAGGTTTTCTCACAAGCTGCTGCTTGTTTTTTGCAAATGAAGCTTGGTGGCTTTCCAAAGCCACTCGGCTGCTGCCCGCGTCCTACGGTCAAGCCAACCTAAGTAGACATAATGGGGTTTCGCATTTTGTACCATCGCGACAGCCCAGGCAGTGGCATAGGTATCAGCCCTCTGAATTCCAAGCTGTCACCGATAGGTTCAAGAAATTCTTGGTGTGATTCCCCATCGGTATGCCAAGGGCTTTCTGCGGGTCGTCGACTTAAGAGTTCCGACTTCAGATTGAGGGTAAGTTTGCCGCACTCTAGGGCCCAGAAGCCAATGAGCGGGCACATGAGAACCCGTGACGTTTAGACTGCTAGGCTAGTTGCAACCCGGCCCCAAACCTGAGGCATTTGGTCTTGCGGCGCTCGCTCCTGTCGTCGCATAGTGTGCGAGTTTGCACGGATGCGATGAGGTTTCTTCGCCCCTTGCTTTGCTGCCAGAGATCGGGATAAATGCCAGTCTCCTTGCAAACTCGCAGTCGGCTCTTGCAGTCATTCTACCCACACACTGGCTTGCCGTAAGAGCACCCGGGCATCATCAGGATGCCTCAGACGGCCCTCGGACTATACATCACGTCTGGGATAGGGCAGCGGCAGTTTGGGACACGCTGAATCAAACACGGCTGACAACACAATGCGTCTGACATCCAAACAAGAGTTCGGTGGCAAACTCTGGACACAGAGCTCGGAATGAAAATTCCAAGAGCGAATCGAACCGCTCATAAGACTTTCGTCGAGTAGCAGCGAACACGACATTCCGACGGGCATGCACCTAAGGTTCACTTCTTTCAACTCTTCTTCAGGAATGGCACTTGGTTTCCAAGTTTCCACGTGTCCCATCCCAGCATGCGTGCAGCCAGTTGTGGGCACGGCTTGCCGCCTGCCCTGAGCAAGTCCAGCCCTGCTCTGCACCATACAAGCAGCATTGATGCTCGCCATCAGCCAAGATGGAGCAGCGGTGCAGAACGGCACAAGCCGCTAATTGGCAGTGAATTGCAAACAACTATGGGGATAGGCCAGCAATGAGTCTATAAACGTCCGCTATCGGAACCTACACTCCAGGACAGTGTGGTTTCTAGTACTAACTCGTCAGTGCGCAACGACATGCTGCATCGCCTAGCAGGCATATCCTCAACTCGTTTTTTCACGATGTCTTCCTTGGAGGTCGTGCACGAAAAGAGTCGAAGAGACCGCATGGAGCAGGCGGCGATGTACATTTGCTTAGCAACCTCAGTGAGGCCAACTCCGGCTGCTCCACATGCAAGTTGTGGGTTTTCTGTATTTCGCGGTCTTGATAACTACAATCGCACTATTTCGCTTTCTCCGCAGGTCCCTTCTCTGAAACTCCCATATTGCCCGTGCAAAGCGAAGAAGCTGGTGCCTGTGCAAGCAGATTGGAGGCTAGGACCCCGGCTCCAAAGAGTTCGAGCTGGTGCATGGAAAACCCTCACGAGCTCATCCTTGCAGGAGCACCATCAGAATCAGAAAGTGCAAAGCCGCAGCTACAGTACGCGAGCACAGGAATGTTGCACTGCATGCAATCATGAGCTTGCCAACTACAGAATACTTGCTGAAGCATGCTAGTCGAAAAGGCACCCCGCCCACGTCACTGAATTGCAGCTGCACGTCAATCTGCTGCCTCCTCCCAGCACAGGACTTGATGGCGGTGACCTAGCTGCAGGTTCGCTCAAATTCAGATCTGAAGTCTTGCTGTGCACAATGATGCACAGCGGCCGGAATGACAGAACAGATGTCACAGCGAGCGGAGACCGAGAGTCATGCTGCATGCCACCGCCAGAACGAATGATAGGCGGGACGAAGCTCCCTGCAAGCTCAGAGCACTGAGAAATTTCACCTGTTTGATGATCTTGAATGGCATCTCGTGACGGCAGTGCAGAACATCAAGCACAAGAGACAGTCTTCGAGGACAGTACCTCTCGTCTCCCGCATCTAGTCAAGACGCCCTCGGCTTCACATGTGCACCCGTATCTATATGCATGTATGACTCTATCTGTGTGTGTGTGTGTAACTCAGTTGCTTTGTCATAACTTTTGTCGACCTGCACGGGTGTCATTAGTATGTGTACGTGAACATAAATGCAAACACCTGTATGTACATGCATGCATGCATGAATACATACACACACACATACACATACATGAAATACATGCACAGACATACACACAAATACACATACATACGCACATACACACATACACACGTACTATAATAGCAATGAAAACAACTTTAAAAACAATAATCAGATGAATTATAACAACAGTTATAATAATAACGATCGTAATATAGACAAAACATAATGATTTAATGCTACTACAAGTAATAATACGAATAAAGCATAAATATACATATATGTATGAATACGGACGGAAAGCTATATATGTATACACACACATACATACGTGAGCTACATACATGTGTCTGTGTATGTATACATATATATATATATGAATTATGTATAACTGTGTCATAGGCGTGCCTGCACCGGTGGCCATTTTCCTGTCGGCATGCGCCTGCCAAGTTTCAGGATTCGCAAGCTTGTGGAACTTGGACTGGCAAGGCTGAAGACTTCGGAACTTCGGGCCGAGCACTGCAGCAGGGCATCGCAGCATAGCAAGGCATGGAATCTCCCTTTGGCCTGCCATGCATTCCGAGCCGCATTGGCGACGCCCCCCTGCACCACCACACGTTTGACGAATTTGGATGCGGTGTGTGCCATGAGGGGTTGCGACCCTTGGACACAAGGAGGACAAGACAAGCTGAGGGAGAAATATCTGGTCAGTGCACCTGCACCCTTGCGGTCTGTGGCCGCTGCGCTGCGCTGCGCGGGGAGCATGGGGGGCCTCAGACAGCGCCAGTGTCCAAGCTGCGCCCCACCACAGCTCTCTGCATCCTGTGTTCATGTACTTGTCACCGACGCTACCCAGTATATTGTCTGTGCTTGCAGCTGCGCTCCCTCGTCACTCGCGTCTGTTGTCATGCGTCAGCTTTGGTTCCGTTTATACCTGAACCTCCGGTAATGTTACTGCGGGAGCAAAACAGGCTAACTCTCGTCATTCCTTATAGCTGTTGTTGACCATGGTGATTTGAAACTACATCTTGACAGGTTCGGGGTTGAGTTGAGGTTGCGGGGTTTAGACTGCAAGCTCCTCAGCAAGTATTGCAGAATGCCTGCATAAGTGCCTGTTGGGCTCAGGCTTGTGCAGTCCTGTTGAGTCTGTCAGAGCCCAAATCCAGGCTCCCGAGCTGTAAGCCCACCCGGCTTAATAGTATACGCTTGCGCTCGTTGCAGTCAGGCTCCATCATTATGGTCTTCTCGACCGCCGACATTTCCACATAGGTACAGGTTAGCTGTTAGCGATGCAAAACAGAAGCAGCTCGCCGCAAAAACAAGGCAACTTCTTGTAGGCAAAGAAAGATACACAGACACACCCACAAGCTCACACACAAATGCACAGCGACAGACGGACGGAGACAGGGTCGCATGCAAAAGGAAAGATAGGCAGAAGCCAAGACTTTTCTACCTTAGGTTCCATCAAGCCGAGAACGGTGCAAAGGGAGCAAGCACCACGAGACCATACTTATGTAAATACTCTGACACATGATTGGCACAACACAGAGCCGATGTCTCTCGCCGTGTAGAGGGCTGCATAGAAACACGGCCACTTCTTCGACGAGTAGCTAAGCAGGCGTCGCTGCTGCGTGTGCCTGCCACATCAGATGGGGGTGAGAAGCCATGTTGCTTGGAGCCCGGTGAGTAATTACCACGCGGACCTCAGACAGAAGGTACATGTCCACGTATCAGTGCAGTGCAAATATACCAGACCAGCACATGTTCTAGAAATCTTAGGTAGGCTGTGACCAATGCCCATGTCGAAGGTTCGCAAACTGGCCGGTGATGCGTTGCTTGCGGAGAGGCACCCACAGCAGCCGCCCTGCGTGGAGATTCTCTGAGGCATTCTTTGGTTCTTTGGGGGCTTCCAAGCTCTGGCAGCTCGAGGAGGCCTGTAGCCGCTTGGACTGGATGCGGTGCTGGCTGTCGCAGGAAGACCTCCCGCTCTTGAACCACAAGAGACATCCCATCCCAGAAAATCCAGGCTAGGACAACATTCAGCGTATCTGCTGTCGGAGCGCGTTGAGGAGTTCCCGATGGCGTCGAACCGCCCAAAGCCACAGCTGACTGCCTTCAATCTTCCACAGTTGAAGTTGGCTTCTTTCAAGGGCAACTCCAGAATAGTGAGGTAAAGGCAGCATGGGAGCAGCGGCTGCCGCGGCAGTGGCTCCAACGCTGAGAACGTCGTCCTTCGCGGCACTCGGGTCATGCTTCCCTTCCCCCTTTTCCCATCCTTCCTATCTCACACTGAGAAGTCTGAAAATCGGAGAACTTGCTTGCCGGTCCTCGAAGCCGATATCCCAGCCACTGCCAGTGTCCTCAATTCAGCTCGCAAGCTAGTCGACGCATTATACCCATGCAATTGCATGACAGGAACACAGGGATAACCCACAGTCCTGGTATGGCATGGCTTGGGGGTCTTCGTGCTCGCAGTCACGGAAGTTGGTCAGGTCTCGCGGCCCTCGGACCTGGCGCCGAATCCACAGGACTCTAAAGTCAAAGGAGACTCGCATGGCCGCCTGGGGAACCAGTGGAGGGCTGATTCGGAGACTTTGCAGTCCTGGCACACAACCGGGCACAGAATTCCAACGCGATAAACTAACCGATGCTCTGGCTTCCAGCACAGGCCTTTCCAGTCAAAGCCGCGGAAGAAGACGTTGTCCCGGAGCTGCGGTGTGCGCAAACGCACCTTGCTTGCTGGGCCGGCTAGGCCCCTAGGCCCTAAGGCCGCAGACCCGGGCAACAGAAAAAGACGAATACCAGCGCAGGACTGAAGCCTCGTGACGCATTGCACAGAAGCAGTGCTCCCAACCCATTTCAAAGCTCATGCAGCCTCGACCCACGCAGTTGAGAAAATGGAAACACCTCTTCTCTGCTACCAGGCCACATCTGGGTTCCTGTGGCACAAATTTCGCACCAGCTGGCCGGCCTAAGCTTCGTACATCTGCGCACATCATGGCACGTTTGCCGCACAAGACACCTCAAGCGAGGAGACAATGCAGGCACAAGGGCTGAGACTACCGGGCCAAGTGGCTTCAATCTTGACTGCTTCCGGAAATCGCACTGACTCGATACCCTTCTTCACGAGGCCGTAGGTCTGCGAGGCTTCAGATCTCTCACTCTGATTGTGTTGATGACCAGGTCTATCTCTCGCATTAATTAATTAGACTAGCAACGAGTCTACACTCTACACTGCCCCTCTTGCAGACCAAGCCAGATCCTCGAACCGCACGTTGCCTCACTACAGAAGCACGGCCTCCTGTGCATTGCCGGATTTGGACTCGAACGGTGCGTGTCCTGGAAGTGTCTTCAATGCAGTGAGGCATGGCAGGGACTTCGTGCCAAGCGTCCATGACCGTCCTGCCAGAAGCTCGAAGAGCAGCACTCCGAGTGTCCACCAATCAACGGACTGACATTGCAGGGACTTTTGAACTCTTGCCAGCCGAGGACAACGGAAACCTACACTCTACGCTACCCGGAGCACACAATTCCGATGCAGTGAAAGTCGCAAGTCGTTCCCACTAGGCGCCCCCCAGCCTTGGTGTGTCCGACCTGCTCAATGACCTGACAGAGCTATGCAAGACCAGCGTGTCCAGTCTATGCTCAGGAAATGCAAACGATAAATCTGTCCAAAACAAGTCGTCTGAGTTTTCATTGGAGCCTCCGGTGCCATGTAGTCCGGAGTGCCAACCATCGTAAAGGTCGGGCCTTATAGCATGAGCAGTGCTGCGCAGTGCGACGCTGGGTTCACAGAATCTGAACGTGTCAGTGCTTTAGGTAGCCGCTGCAATGGATGCCTCGGCCTGACTGAATCGAGACCCTGAGCTGCGTCAAGTTCCAGACTGGTCGCAACTTTCGCCAGTCCCATGTCAGTCACCTTCACGCTCCGGAGCCATTAGCCACAGTGAACAACATCCCCAGTTCACACTTATCCTGAGAAGAGATGCTTGCCTTGCAGAAGCCTCGATTATCCAGCAGCAGGTTCTCAGGCTTCAGGTCCTGCATGCAACCATCGCTTGTTACCGGGGCCACTAGTTTTCTTGCATACCAACATTTTCTGCATTCCATCCCGGCCATGGCCATGAAACGCTTGAAGCCCCCACAGTCCCGGTAGATCACGTTCTTCCCGTGAAGATGGGTCAATGCCTTGCGGGCTCACAGTTCCCACTTCGAATTCAACAGAAAAGAAGAAATACGTTGGCAGCTACATGCAGCAATTGACACCGAGCTATGACCGGCGACTGTTGTGTCTTTGACGGGTAGCTTCGCCAGATCTCAGAGTCCACTCTGGGTCGTTGCATGTGTTTGGAACCACAATGTGAACTTGAATCTGAAAGGATAGCCCCCCAAAGGTCTACTCCAGACGTGAAGCCTCCGTGACGCAGGAGACGTAGAAGCGAGCATGCGTTTCGGAGCCTTTGCAGCAACCGGCAGCAGCTGGCACAGAGTAGCAATTACTATGTTGCTCTCTTCCCTTCAGGACCGCACCATAGAGCTTGAGGCGCTCATACGTGGTGAAAAGCTCTCCGCCAAGCGCAGCCTCGCACCCGCCGTCTCCAGTCTAAAGTCTTAACGTAACTCTCGTAAGCTGTCTGGACGCCGGGTTCTCTTGTAACTCACGTCATGCTCTTCCCTGACTTTTTTAAGACTTGTCATGAGCCTGATAGTCTTAGTCTCGTGGTGCATTCTGACGTGACTCGGCCGGACCAACCTCGAGAAGGAAGTAGACGTGCTCTCTGCCACTGTACGTTGCCAGCAGTCGCACAACCTGGTTGGAGCGGTGCATTGTTGATGTGCACACTCAGGTTGCAGGAAGCACCGTGCAGGCACCCTCAGGGCCAGGCGAACGGCGTGTCCAGCATCTTGAGAATCCTCTTCTCATTGAGGACGGAATACCTCAGCTGCAGCGAGACTTGCATCTAGCGAGCTCGGCGCTTCTGGGATCGATGCTCCATCCGCAGATGCGCCAGGTATCCCTTGGAGACGGCTTTCAAAGCCTTGGGCCAGGGTGCATGAGAGCAGGATGCCAGGATGCGGAGAGAGCAGTATGTAGTTCCCCTTACAATTGCACAAACTAAGAGATACTACGAGTAGCATCTTGTCAATGTGCGGTGGCAGAAATTTGAGTGGCACACATATGTTCTTCCTGTTCTTCGATCAGCCTGCACTTCTGTTGCATCTGTGCTGTCAGGAACATTACAAGCCAACTACCACATCTCAACGATCCAACGATCCGATGCCGCGCCTCGAGCGTTACCAGACCGAATGCGCCGACGCCGAGTCGGCCAATGCGTTGTAAGTCGCACCTCCGTATCCTCGTCACACCTGCCCGAGCGGCCGAGCCGCAGCTGCAAGAGAAGAGGGAATAGACCGTGAAAAACACTACCATCATCTATATCCTGATAATATATACTATATGAGGACCAGGCTGGCCATCCAAGTCCCAATCAAGACAAGGGAAAATGGTTGTGACTGCCAGCACTGCTACGCTACACTGCTCTACGGCATCGTGCCTGGGTTGTTGTTAGTCCTTAGCGACGACGCGAAACATAGTGAGACAGTGTGGCAAATGCGAAAGCCATCCCTGGACCCGAAGACCGTCCCTGAGCCCCAGACGCAGATCCGGAACCAGGGAATGGAGTCGATGTGACAGGAGGAGCGCCTGAGTCCGGCAGAGGTCCAAAGAAGGTTCCACTAACGGACCTGCTGCCAGAACCGCGCAGCGCAGCGTCCGGTTCAACGAGACATCTCACGGCGAACGAATGGGCCAATATGCAAGAAACGGCCTTCATCTGCTCTTGTGTTTAGAAGTGTGCTGTCGCGCTCTGCTCAACCACATGGTACAGTATCCTTTGCCTTGGCTGTTGCCCTACAATCCCAGAAGTATCTTCGTTGCACAGAGGCCGGCACCGGGAGTAGCTGCCCTCACGGTCCGGCCGGAGCTGGTCCTCGGCTCAGCTTCAATCAAGCTGAGACACCCAAGGCTCCCCAATCGGAGCTTCTGTATCTCGTTTGGTTTCGGGAATTCTAGACCTCTGGCTTCCTAAAGGGGTTCGTCGGCGATCCCCAGCATCACCGCTTTCCATGCTTGCCAAGCTCAACTCTCTTTGACCTTTCTGGGCTCCCAACGGCGGCTCCATCATGCCAGGCACATCGGGAGGCGCCTCAGGCAGCTGATGCTGAGAGGAAAGTACACCAGGATGGGATACAAGCCATGGTGACAAGACTATCCAGACAAGAGCCCTGACAATGCTAGTGAGTAATGACTAGCTGCTACCAGTGATCTGTGATACTACAGGACTCCAGGCAATAGAGACTCCGTTTCTCCCTAGAAGCCAGCTACCCGGAGTTGATGTTGGCTGACAGGCCTTCGGCGTGCAGACGCCAGAACCTGCGCAAGAAACCGACCGGCGTACATGCAAGACATGCAGTGAGGGGGCTCAACATATTCTACAGCTCGGGCTTGGCCCTCTGCCTGTGATCGGCGGTGACCATGAGTGGGACGGCTGTGTTGGGGCAGCGCGTGGCCTCGCCCAAGCGCGGCTACGATCCATGGCCCTATACTTCTGCCTGTTCTCAGCAGCGCGACAAGTTTTGAAGCCTCAGTCAAACGAGACAGCAAGTCATGTCTCCGAAAAATTTCGATTCCATGTCGAGGTGGACAGTCATTGCCGAAACGGCAGCGAGGCTGCTGCGGCCTACTGTGAAGCCTTGGAGAAGCCCAGCCCGGTTAAGTTTAAAAGCAATTTCACAGCCGTTAGCAGTTAGCAGCCGGGACAAATTGCCCTCCACATGGCTGAATTCAACTTTGACCAGATGCCAGCCCTCCGTCTGAACGGCGTAGCGAGGGCGAGGGGAATCGCGTTCTGAGCAACAATTCTGCGAAGGGGCAGGCTTTATCACCTCTCCTGCAGTCCTCATACCCCTTGTCTAATCCATCCCAATAAGTCCATCTTTCCTGGACGCCTTTGCCTCCTTTGCCGTTGCTCCTCGGCTTCTTGCCATCCTTGCCCTGCCCTTGCAAGGTTGGGCCTGGGGAGAAGTGTGGACAACTTGTCCTCCTTGGGCCGACCGCCGACCCGTCTGACAAGGTTGATCCAAACTCCATGTCGTGGGAAACTCGTCAGACAGGGCTGCAAAGCGGTGGAACGTTGCACTTCCATGCCACCACTAGTGTTCAATTGAGATGGTGGTGGTATGAAGGTTGGGGTGGGGGTATAGAGTTGCCTTGGCAGCCGCCAATGATGCCGCTCAAAGGCAGTGAGTGGGCATCGTTGGCTGCCAATGCCGCGGCTGGGCCCCGATCCGCATGCAGCTGGTTCGTGGGCAATCTTCTTCTCGTTGGCGAACAGCCAGAGATGGCGATCTGATCGCTCCGCAACACTCCACCACTGGGCCCAAGCCCCAGACGCAGCCCATGGAGCTGCATTCGCTGAAGCGCCTCCCTTGGGCAGCGGCGCCTGGAGAGAGAGAGAGAGAGAGCGACCGAGGTCAAAGATGCTCGGGCCGCGAGTGCAGCGAGCCTGCGAGGGTGCTTTCGCAGATGCGCCGGATGTCTTCGACTGAACTTTGACACCTGCAGCAGGATTCTGCAGTGAGGCTGATCTGCTGCTACGCACGCACGCTCGTTGCTCCAGCTGCAACTTTGGGCCTGTCTCCTCGACGTTGTTATTTACACGCGGCACTGGCCGGTTCGGCGGTGTAGGAGATGAGGGAACCTGTGCACGCGCGGCCAAACATCCGTCATCATACTTCACCCTTCTTCCACTTGTCAAACTGCCACGGCGTCAAACGCATCCGCCGTGCCTCGCGAGGCTGTTTCGCAGGGCTGGCCTTACGCTCCTGAGAGACCCGGACCTGGGACGCAGGACGGCATTTGTGTCGTCGGCGCAATTCCTTCTGGCATAAGGTTTGGTTGATGCAAACAGCAGATCCCAAGCTAACACGTGAGCACTACGTAGCTGTTTAATCCTTTCATCCTGCGCAAACACATCGATCCGTTTGGCCTCCGATGCTCGCAATGACTCTTGCACCTGCCAGCACCAAGTTCTACTTCATAATGTCTGCACTACTCACTAATTGGATGATACCGGTCAGTAGTACTACTGGAGAGTTCGTTGGGTCGCTAAACCACCCGCACACAGAGGCACGCAAAGGCCTCCTTCAATGTCGGCGCAGGCTTTCGAGGACGAGGTGGCAAGCGGTTCACCTAAGAACTGGTGGACTCGAACACGCAACGAGAAATGTGAGCTCCGACATGCAATCTGTCTGTGTGGTTGTGTGGGAGCACACACGCGCAGTGCTTGCAATACGATCATATCCCATAGACCGGAGAAGCTGGCGCCCACACACAGTGGCGAGGCCCTCGTGCCTCGTGTCCCAGGCAGATATAGATCGCCAGACATCCCCAATTCAGCAAACTGAAACAGGGCAAGCTTTCTTGTACACGGCATTCTGCGCATTGCTGCACATTGCTATGTCCAGCATACTCCAATCAGAATCACCTCTTTTCCGGGTGCATGGAGTAACAGGAACCCGGTTTGGGAGTAACTGAAACGATTTCGGCAGGTCGTAACCGGAACGGTGGATAGTAGAAACAGGAACCGCCTGGGCACTGTAACAGGAACTGTCCTGGGAAACCCGGTAACCGAAACCAGGCTGGAAGTCTTGGAGGAAGTCTTGTCAGGAGGGACAGGTTTTTCGGTCCCCCTCCTTGACACCATTAAACGCCTTGTACTGACGGCTATGTTTCGTTCAGTAGCAGTAGCTCCGCGGTGTTTCCTGTTACAGGGCACTGACTGTGGCTGTTACGGGAACCCGGTTTCTGTTACAGAAACCCTGATGGTTCCTGTTACGGACAACCTGTTCCCGTTACGGCAATCACTCCCTCTTTTCCCGCCTTGGCCCTCCGCCTGGACGGCTGCCACTCGGAGCTGAGGTCCGGGGCGACCGTCTGACAGCTGCTGGACCGTACAGGCACACACGAACACTAAACACACACACACACACACAAGCACACATAAACACACACACACACACGCACGCACACACACACAAACTTGAACACCCAGGCTTCTGGGAGGATGCATTCGTGTGGTGACTTCAACTCAGCAATACGCTCAAGCAATAAGCTCAAGACTCAGCTGAGACTTCAAGAGAAAATGTTGCCATAGATCTCGAGGCTTGGTTGATCTT